TAGTTTTTACCTCTTTCGTGTATTTTTGTTTTGAACATCAAAATGCAAAACTTGAATATACTTTGACAGAAAAAAAAACTAAATGAGAAAATGAATTTTTTCTTATGAATCAGTTTATTCTAGATTATGTCGGTATCCGAAGAAGAATTTCAGCGTTTTCAAAATCAATTGCTTGATCTTAAAACGCGAAATTATCAATTGGAAGAACAAAATAGAAGACTAACTACAGGTATATTAAATAATACATGAAAAATCATTTATAGAAATACTATGGATTCTCGACTATGTACAAATTTTTATTAGACTGAATATCTATTGAAAGTATTTCTTCCTAAAATAATAACATAGATTAAATTGAATAGAGATTTTTTTTTATTTTATAGATAATATATTTGAATTTCGAAGTGATGAAATACGAGTAGTTATTAGATTGTAAATATGAGTTCAAATGAACTATGAATATCCTCAAAAGAGTTCGTATGATTAGCTTATAGTTGAACAAATAGTGTACTTTTTAAAATGAATGTCGTGGTAAGAGTAACAAGAATAGGTTTTTCTATGAATGTTTCAAATTCTAGTGCTATTCATATTCTAAGATACAACTATGGTAATAGTGTGTCTTCCACACACATCTCAAAAGATCTAAAACTTTTATAATAAGCTTCTCTTGCTAAAGCCTGTCTATATGCAAAATTTCAAGTCAAACTTTGACAATGAGTTTTCCTGACGAGGGTTCATAGCATCCATTTGAAAGTGCAGTATCTTTTGAACGTATTCATAGCTAATTGGGTTCTACACAATCTAAACTCGAAAGTAATTTATCAGTTACAGGACTTCCCTTGTTAGGTTCAAAGAATTCATCAATCGATTGAATTTTCATTAGGTCTCCTTTTTCCATACTGAATACTTTTTAAAATAAGTTTTTAGTAAAATTGCAAAAACTAAATTTTTATTATAAATATGGTAAATAGACTTATTATTATGTTAAAGGCAACAGATTCATAGATAGTATTCGTACATAGATCATAACAATATTATAAGAAACATAAAAAAATAGAGTTAACTAAGTTACTTCTCATTTACGAACAAAGAAAAATTGTTTTTGAATTTTTAATTGATTGTAAAGTTGACGAATATAGAATTGTTAAATGATAGGATTTTCAAAAGTTTGGATCAATGAGAATGCATATAGCAAGATAATTTTTTTTTTTTGCAAAAAAGTTAAGCTGTGCTTCGTAGACAACATTAATTATCATTTAGAATAAGTTATTTGAATTAAATCAAGTTACTAGGAATCGTAAAGATCGTGAGTTTTTGTTTTAACCCAGATCTAAGAAAATCGCCGTCATTATATTGCCGTTTTTCGTAATCTCGTGCTACGGTTCAAATAAGAGGAAAAACGATGATTTTTTGCTAGAGATAGAAAGAATTGATGGACTATGGCAAAAATTAATACTGTAATATGCTGCTGCTAAAAGTCGAAATGATCGTCTGGAAAGAAAAAAATATCCTAATTTGTAGAGGATATGGGTTTTTAATCTAAAGTGAATTGTGATAATTTGCAGACAGTTATACTTGATGTCAAGGAAAGAGTCTAGTAATTCTTTTCTTGTTTATAGTTAATATCAAGTGTTATATGAGATAACATCATAAATGTTTACAAACTGATCTTTAAAGTAACCGAAGTACTCTATTATTGTCTTTTACACTTAGTGTTAGTTTTCTGAAACAGAATAAATATATTGAGTAAATGAATTGATTATTTTTTTTATTATTAATAAAGATAATTTTCATAATGTACGAATCAGGGTCATCAATTTGAACACAATTAAGAAAAATTTTAATCAAAGTCAAAGGAAGATTTCACAAAAATTTTGTCATAATTTATCGTAAAAATTGAATACATTATCAATTATCACAATAGTCTTTAGCGAACTGTATATATTTCAGTTAGTTAACTGTGACACTGAATATGTAGGTTTTTTTAAATTTATACGAGTAAAATTTCAAATTTCATATTCTTATTTTTAAATTAATCAAATACCAAACATTATCGAATTTTAGTTCAACAGTATTTGTAGATCGATTTATGTTCTCAAATGAGAAATTACAATTTTTTCTAATATATGACAGAACATTCGAGAATTTCACGAAGTTATTGGCATATAAAAAAAAAAAACTTATTCTCACAAATATCTTTATTCAAACAATGTGATAAGCAAAATATAGAACCTATGGCACTGATAATCTTGACACAAAATATTCATTAATTTTTCATCTACTTAAAGATAGCTTATTATATTGAGTACCAGTGATTTAAAATAGAACAACCATCATTAGATTGTTTCAAAAAGACAAAAATTGTCGTTATAAAGAATTATTGTTTTGATCCATTTTGTATTTTAATTGAAGCCTTTCAAATTCAAAATGTAAAACAGTTTTGAATGAACCATTTGTAGAAATGTGGATTGTAAACTGTTTTCGTACTCTTTACCTCGACTGAGAAAAAACAATTTCTAATCATTACCCTTCAGAATAGGGTACAGTAATTCTGTACATTTCTATTTTGTAGAGCTAACTTTACTCTACAAAACGTGCTATTTAATTTTGTAATGCAGATTTAAAAATTTTTGTAATTTTAAAAGCAGTTTTTCGACCAATTCTGAATCCTACAGAAATTAGCTCTTCAATAGAAACACATAGATGAGACTTCACCTATTGTAATTCTAATTCTTAGTAGTTGTCTTTTAGTGACCAAAAACAATGAGTATATATATGTTGTGTCAAAACTTTTGCACTAAAGATCTATCATTGGATTTCTGAATATTGATTTTCATTGTACATGAGTTTCTATAGACATTCTTGTTAAATATTTATTTTGTAAAAACATTATAACTAATCATAAATATCTTTTTTTTTTTTTTTTCGTTTTGTCATATTAGAAAATGTTCACTTAAAAACTCAAATTGAAAATTTTGAAAAAGATAGTATTAATTTACGATTACCAACAAAAGTGGTATGTTATTCTTTACAAATAAACAAAAAAAAATGAATCATTGTTTAAAAAATATACATATATATCGATATTTTAGTTACCATGGAAAATTCGTCGTGTTACTGGACGAGATATTGATGAAGTTCAACGTGAAAATGATGTACTTACACGTAAAGTTCATACTCAAGAAGAAGAATTTAAACTACAAAATGAAACAATGATGCGTGAATTAAACGAAGTAAATAAAAAAATAATTTGTTCTTTTTCTTATAAACAAAATTTATAATAATGATGAAGATTTTCTAATTGATAATGTTGATAATTCTAGTCGAAGATAGTAATGATAATAATACATATAGAGAAACAATATAATTAATAGAATAAGAATAATTATTAAAAAAATACATATTAATTTTAATAATTTTGAATTTATTGTTGAACGAGTTAATAATGTTAAAATTTGACGATAATTTTCTTCAATTAATAAATAATGATTATTATAAGGCATTGAATTTGTTGTTAAAATCAAACTTTTATTTTGTTCAATATTGTCAAGTTGAGCTGTTGTTGTTGTTGTTGTTAATTTTTCTTTATTAACAGATAAATTAGCATTAAAATCAGGTATATTATTAATTGTAACTGTTTGAAAAGTATGCTTTTCAAGAAGATTTGTATCAGTAGGTATTGTTCTAAATAAAATAAAAAAATAATTTTTGGAAATATTTGTTTAATATTATAAAACGAACTTATTTAAATGAAAATCACATTTAGCATATTGAATAAAAAGTGTTTTCGATTGAATTGAATTACAATGATTGTTCATAAATGTTTTCCATAAATATGTATCCTTAATAAAAAATTGACATTGATTTAATTGATTTAAATTTTTTATTTGAATATTTATTTCAACTTGTTTATTTAATAATAAATCAATTGATTCAAATGGAATATAAAATGCATCAATTAAAATTAAACGATTTGTATAATTTTTTGATTCTATTGTTGAATTCTTTATTTCAATTTGATTATTCAATTCTATTTTTATATCAATATTATTTCTATTAATTAACCATAAAAATGTATTATATTGATATAGATCAATTATAATCCATATTAAACGTGATTGTAAACGACATAAAAATGTAAAATCAATTTCTAATGGTAAAATTTCCATTGTTGATGATCGATGTGGACATTCATATGATATTAATGGTTGTTCATTTAATGGTGGATCTAATATTTTTGTATGATTTTGTGGACAATGAAAATACCATTGTGTAGGATGATTAATAATACCAAAATAAAATGATTGATTTGCATGAATTAAAAGAAGAATATTAAAAAAATTAATAAATAATAAAAAATTTAATTTCATTGAAGAAAATTATTTGTCTTTGTTCGGTTGTCTGATTGATATTTGTTATGACTAAATATATAAAACATTTTCTACTTATTGTTAAAAACTTTTATTTTAATTCTCTAAAAAGAAAAATTACAATTCCATATCATCTAATTGTTTTCTCAAGGACAGACTTCATTAATTTTGACTAACATATAGCATAATAAGAAGTATGCACTGTTCTTTACAAATATTATTCGAATGACAGACAAAGGATATATAATGTTTGATAATTGATTAATAGATATATGGCTAAGTTAATTAATAATATCTGAGAAAAAAAAATACCAAGGTTATGGATTTATTAATATTTTATTAACAATATACGTTAGAGATACAAACAATAAATAACATATTTTATTTTTTACGTGATATTAAAGTTTTTCTTTTATGTTGGATATTGATAAAGAAAAACTCAAGATAGATTCAATATATATATATATGCTATTGTTGATCATAGATATATTAAAAAGACTTGTTTTGCAAATAAATAACAAAACTTTGAAATAAAAACTTACGTATATAATTGTTTTTTGATCTGACAATAGTTTATATTAATACTAACAGATGAATAGATAATCTTCATGACACTTTATAATAAATGAAATGGTAAGGTTTCGATTTTTTTCTCAATAGAACGATATAAAAAAAAAGAAAGAAGTTTCAAGGAAAAAAAAATATATAATAATGTACAACAGAAGATTAAATTTTTCTCGAGCAATAGAAAAAAAAAATGACTAAAAACCAGTAATCAGCTTATGAACAAAATCAATTTATATAAATAGAATAATACTTACTTAGGTGAAACCTTTAGGTAGAAAAAAAGAAAGAAAAACTAGACTTTTCTTCTAATAAGAAATATAATCATTTCACTTACGTCAATAAGTTTTCTATTTCTTTTATCAAATGAGATGTTATTCTTATTACTCGAAGGCAAATAATTTTCTTATTTATATATTCACATAAGCAGAGAGAGAGAGAGAGAGAAAGAAATTTCCTAAAATAAATTAGCACATTTAGCATATGTTAGTTTATTTATATTGTTTAATTTTTTTTTTTCTATTTTATTTTAGTATACAATGAAAGTTGAACAACTTGAAAATGAACTTAAATTATATAAAGAAGGTCGTCATACAAATCAAAGCAATTCTCATGATAATCCAGATATGATTAATTTAATTCAAGAAGAAAATCGACGTTTAAAAGCAGAAAATAATGTTTTACAAAAAAAACTTTCCGGTAGATAAAATATTTTATATTTATAGAAACAAGATATTAAATTTATTTATTTTTTTCAAGAGTTATCAACGAAAACTGTCGAATCAATATCAACAGCAAGTTCAAGTAATGAATCATTTCAAAAAGAAGATGTGGAAGTAGAATGTGATGATAATCGGTGTGTATCTTGTTACTCTTTATCAATTGAGACTATGAGTATTATATAAATCATGATCAACTATACATCAGGGCAAAAGTTCGATTTTCTTGCTTCTTTGCTTTTTATATTCACATGTTTTATATCAAGGTTTTTACTAAAAGACATATTATATATAATTATTATTTCTTTCGATCAAACATTATACATTTTTGTTTATATTCTATATTAATATTATATCAGAAATAATTGAAAGAATTTCTATGTCCAGACTTATTTTGTTTCTCTAACGAGAAAATCTCATTAGAATTTCCTTGATGCTTGTTTCGATAATTGTACTAGTTTTCTATTGTAACATAGTATATTAAAAAACAATATTTAGATTAATTTCTTTGGATCAGACAATATCATGACAGCTATGTTTAGAGAGTTTCCTAGCTTCGAGACTGAAATTAACAAGAAGTTCGAAGAAATAATGTAGAATAATAGATAGAATGTCAGTTGTAATAGCAATTTCTATCAAACTGTCTAATAGTAGTTTTTGTTTAAAGAGTGTCTTGCATTTTTCACAGAGTTAAAAAGAAGAAGAAAAGAAACAAGGGATTTCATGCTGTGGTAAAACTCAATTTAAATATCTCATGAAAATTAATTGTCTAATTTCATATTAAAATTCAGTACAAATATCAGTCATAATGAGAAGACTCTATTGTGTATATACTTAGGTCAATCCAAGAGTTCTGTCGAAGATACCTTATTTTCGAATAGTAAGCTCAAAAAAGTTTTTGTTCTTTATGCAATGATAGAGAAAACGATACTCAATTTTTCTATGCTATTTGATCAATCATCAACTATTATCATAATAGTAAAATTTTGCTAAAAACTGTTTTTGTATGAAACTTGAGCTTGTTTAAAAAATAATGATCGTCAGTATTTTTGCAATAACTCAAGAATGGAAAGAGCTAGAGAGCTGCAGTTTTCATTGTTTGAAAGAGAAAAAGAAGATGTACCGAATTGTGTATTACAAGTTTTTCTAGTATGCTGTCTGAAGTTTGCTTGATCAATTTTTTAAATGCTGAAAAATTTTTTTTTAAACCTGAAAGAAACAGCAAAAAGATTCTTTCTTTTTTTACAGAAATTGCTACAACAATCACTTAAAGCTTTAACTAGAATATCTATAACTCCTGAATGATTAATTCTAAACATCTGATCATTATACAGCTTTTTAGATCTTCCATTGACGGTTTGAATAACATACTCGATAATTGAAAATTCGTTGTAAACAACTCATGGGTTATATTTGTTTTTGAAGAAGTCGAATGAACATCTTATAAAATTAGGTCGAACAAACCGACAACATGGAGTCCGATGCATTTTCTTCTTTACTTTCAAACAATGAAAACTGCAGCTCTCTAGCTCTTTCCATTTTTGAGTTATTGCAAAAATGTTGACGATCATTATTTTTTTAAACAAGCTCAAGTTTCATACAAAAACAGTTTTTAGCAAAATTTTACTATTATGATAATAGTTGATGATTGATCAAATAGCATAGAAAAATTGAGTATCGTGTTCTCTATCATTGTATAAAAAACGAAAACTTTTTTGATCTTACTATTCGGAAATAAGATATCTTCGACAGAACTCTTGAATTGACCTAAGTATTTTAGATTTGAGATGTACTTATATTATAATTCTATCATTGGATCAGAATACCGAGAACGTACGAAACTATTTTCATTTATATAATAAAATTTGATATCTTCAGAGAAAATAAATCAGAAGAATGAACTTATTATTCATATCATGATACACATAATCCTAAGAATTTCGAACATTGCTTGATTCAATTGTGTTTTTGTTTTATTATATTATAATTATTTAATCAGTAGTGAAGGTGGTCTTGTTCATGTTGTCTCAACGAAATCAACCAATGGTGAAACAAAATTATTTGATTGTAAACTTTCTTTTTCGTTTATCTTTAAATATGACTAATAATTCTTGTTCTATTTAATCTAGCTAATAGTATTCGTCTTGAAACTGAACAAGAAGAGAAACGTCTTCTTCAAGAACAATTTCGTCAATTAGAAATATCATTCAAGGAAACAAATACAAAACTTATGAAACAAATTGAAAATGTAAAAAAAAAAAAAAAAGAATAATATTTAATGTTTAATAACAAAAAAAAAAGAAACAATAATATTTATTTATTTATAGTTAAAAGAAAAACTCGATGAAAAACAAAATACATGTTTACAATTACAACATGATTATGAAAAACGTATTCAAGATACTATGTAATGAAAGAAAAGCATATAACAATGTTTTTTTTTTTTTTTATTGTTCTTTTGTTTTTATTATTCTAGTACTGATAATAGTAATATAAAAACAACAAATGAATTACAAATTGATGTACTTAAATCAGAAATAAAACGACTTCAAGATGAAATTCAAACAATAACAAAAGTCATTTTGTCTGAGAAAAGTTTTTTTTTTTAATTGAAATAATTATTCTTTTAGACAAAAGATGATGAAATAAGTAATTATAAAAAACGTGTTCATGAACTACAAATAACTATTGATCAATTAGAATCACAGGTTTGTTATAATAACAAAAAAAAACAAATAACGCTAATCTGATATTCTATTTGCTTGCTTATAACGCTTTTATTAAAGATTGGCACAGTAGCTGCTGAACAAAATCAACAATTACGCACTACTAATGCTGAATATCAACGAATTCTTGCAGATAAAGAATTGTTGCTTAATCAAACGATTATTGATCGTGATTTGTTACAGACAGAAACTGAGGTGTGAAGAAGTTTGTTAGAAAAAAAAATTAATTTCATTGATTAAAAAATTTGATAAATAATATGCTTGTTGTTTTTTGTTTAGCAATCAAAAGAAGCCTATGAAACACTGTTACAAACCGTTCAAATACTTGAAGAACAAGTAACAAATACAACACGCGATTCTGAATCTCATCAACGCGTATGTTTATTTTTTTTATGAAATATAAAGGAAAAAAAATCAGACTTTGTTTACTATAGTTAGCTGAACAGCGTAAAACTATCATTGATGAAATGGCTGCAAATAGTTTACAAGCTGAAGAAAAAGCTAAATTAACTTTACAAAATCAAAAAGAGAAATATCAAGCAGAAATTGAACGACTTGAAAAAGAAAATAATGAATTCAAGGTAGAAAATTAATACTTTTTTAATAAGTTATAGAAAACGCTTCCGAGACTATTAATAATAATCAATATGTAAAAAGAATAAATATGCATGTTGTCTGAATATTTTCAATAGAGATTTAAACTAACATTGATTTGTAAATATAGACTTAAAATTTTTAAATAAATTCTTTTGACATTCTCACGATATTTTGTTTTGCTTGGTTAATAATCGATCGATAAACAAAAAGAAAACATATTACAACTACTTGAAAAAGAAAACACGATGAAGGACGATTGATTTTAAAATAGAAAATATTAAATATGTTATAAATATCATTTAGATCAAAGATCGAACATTGAAACAATATCAATCACGTTTTATAGAATTAGAAAATCGTATTAAATCCGATGAAGAACATAAACAAGTTTTAACAAGTCGTTTAGAAAAATTACAAGTATGTTTACAATTCTTTTTTTTTTTTCTCTTCTTAAATCATTAATATTCTTATTTATGCTAGGTAGAAATAAATGAACTTAAACAAAATTTTGAAAAACAATTCGACGAACAAAAAATACAATATGAAAAACAACTAGATGATGAAAGACAAAAACATCATGAAAATTTTCAAGTAAAAACTTTTTCTTGTTTTTCTTTTACATACAAGAAAAACTTGTGCTTTTTATAGAATTTAACCGAAATTCTTAGCACAAAAGCTCATATAATTGAAGAATTAAATGCTCAAATCGATGTTTTCAAACAAGTTAATAAATATACTTAGTGAAATCTTACCTTTTGTTTATTTAACTTTTTTTTTTACAGGAAACATCGACATTTATTGATGAAAAACGAGCACATGAACGAAAAGGAGCTACATTGGTATGTTATGATTTACTTTAACTAAGTAAAAATTCATCGTATAGATTTTCTTTTTCTTTATAGATGAAAGATTTACAAAAACAATTAAATGCCGAAAAAAAGAAAAATGAGCGAATGCAAGAAAAATTGACAGAGTTACTTTCAGGCGATAAAGCTGGTTTGTTATTTTTCTATTGGCATAATAACATATTGACTGTTTTTTTTTTCTTCTCATAGCACTTGATGATCTATTTTATATACCTAAAACAGATGGAAGCCGACAAGGTGATACAGCGTATGTATAACTTGAGTTTTATTTTGTACCTTCTACAATAATAAACTAAATTCATCTTGTTTTGTAGATCAGTTTCATCATTTAGTGGAATAGGATATATGGATCGAGTAATTGTAATTTTTATTTAAATTTGAAACATTTTAATATTGTTTTTTTCTATATCGAATGAAAGGGTTCAGTAACATCAACTCAAATGAGTACAACTGCATTAGAACAAGAAAATAAAGATTTAATACAAAAATTAGCACGAACACAAGAAGAACGTTCTATACTTGAAGAAAAAGTTCGACATTTAGAATCTTCAAATTCTGCAATGGCTAATGATCTTATTCAACATTATTCAAACGATAAACGTGGATCAGTTTCCAGTAAATATTTTTGTTTTTTTTACTTAACAAGAATATTTAAATACGATATTATGAACATAGGTGTAAATACTCGTTATTCAACTCCACCATCTCGCCGTCGACAAAATGCTTCAACAGAACGACAATCAACTACAACATTAAACTTTCGTCATATGTTGGAAAGTTTGAGTGGCAATAAACATCAATCAACAAATGATGATACTATTAAAAATTTACAGCGTTTATTAGAAGAAACTCTAACAAAAAATATGCATCTACAAAAAGATTTAGAAGCTATGTCGTTACAATTACAAAAACAATCATCATCTAATCAATAAATCATTTTTTTTTTTTACCTTAATTTATTTTTATCATTCCATTTTACGTCTTTTTCTTTCCTTTCGTCAATTCTAGTCATGAATATTCCTCCTTGAACTGTTTTGATCGCTTTAAAATTCTTTTTTTTTTGCTAATATCTATGTCATTTCTCATATATATTCAATCATATGTAACGGTGAGACTTCTAACATTTAATTTTTTTTCATTATTGTTCACTTTCTATGTATACATAAGATTTACACTCTTGTATTTATTCGATTTATTATTGATCCAAAGAAGAAGAAAAAAAAATGAAACTTTACCAAACATTGTTTATTTCATATAGTTGCATGTCTTGACGTCTCTTTTTATTAATAATAAGATTTTAGTTGTAGAAATTTATTACTGTGATCATATTCAATCATGCCATTATATGTCGAACTTAAACAAGCTGCCTTGGTAAGGTATAGAAATAGATTAAACTATTATGACATCTAGTTTTCGATAGAAAGGTATATTGAGAAAGGGATTCAAATGTCAGTACTTCATATGCGTTTAGAAACGAAGAAAAAAAATGATTGGTTTGTTGTTATTTTTAGAAAGACGAAAGAAACTGAATGATGCGAAGCAAACAAATGCTTGCCTATTCTTGTATTCGTTCGAAAGAGAAAAATATAAACACCGTAAACAAATTTTCTAGCATTGTTTTGTATTCTTGACTAGTAACTTTATGTAAATATTTTATTTACTATTTTCATAATAACCATAGAAAAGCATTCTATCGATGGATTTTACTATTTAATAAGAATGAAATTTTAAATAACAAAAATCAAATCAAACCATGTATTCCTTCTACGACACCAAGACTTAGTCATATCATTTAAGTTAGGCTTAAAATAGGAATATTAACTAAAATATTTTAAATTTTAGAGAAAAGGTTTTTTTTCGAAGGATACAGTCATCTATTATCATACTCTCGAACATTGTTTATTTTTATCGAAAGAAAACACCTTAACCTATCACTTTCATATTACTAAACAATCAAGGTTATATTTACCGATAACATTTATCATATGGAAAAACCCATTATGAGAGAACAATTGATAGTTGCTGGAGGAGAAAATTCTCTAACTGATAAGCGACTTTTGAGTCAAAACTATATAGAATCATATGAACTATGAATATTCTAACAATAGTTCATGTCTGTAGTTTATTGCTGCGGAGATACTGCACTATTTAAATGAATGCCTTGGTCTCTCTCAGGAAAACTCATTTTCGAATTTTTACTTGAAATCTTGCATAGAGCCAGACCTTAACGAGAGAATTTCATTGAAGTAGTTTCAAGTTTTTTTATTTGTTTCTATCCTGAAATAAAAACATCAAATCTGCCGGTGCAATGTATAAGACACACCCTTATCATAGTTGTATCGTAGGATAGGACCAACGCATAGATGTGACACTTTCATTATAAACAGTGCTGTTTAAAACCTGTTTCTATGCAATGTGTCAAGTCAAAATTCGAAAATAAGTTTTTCTGAAGAGGACCACAGTATTCATTTAAAAAGTGTCATAGCTGCGTAGCAATAAGCTAAGGATACGAACTCTGTTGAGGATGTTGATAGTTGATTTGGTTCTGCGTATTCTCGAATCACAAGCGATTAATCAGTCGAAGAAGCTTTCTCTTGACAATAATAAGTGAAATAATATTTACTTTCTTTTTTTTGTCTAGCGCCAATATTATCGTCGTTTAATCTGGTTTCAACGTTTACCAATGAATCAAAGACTTTGCTATATTCTTCTCGCAGCTGTTTTAATTTTTGGACTGATTATTATCTATCGTTCTTATCAACCAGCTGATTCAATAGCGAGTAATAATACAAAGAAAAATTTCTTTTCATATTCGAAAGCAAGCGAAACAACTACTCTTTCTTCTTTTTTTTTGCCTTATTCAGTAATATCGGATACACCAGTACGTGTTGATTTTTTTGTTATGTCCAAATGTCCTGATGCAAGAAAATGTGAATTATTATTTGCACCAACTTTATTAAAATTATCTTCAATAATTAATTTTACTGTATCTTTTATTGCACATGAAAAAAATTTAAATGAAATTACATGTATGCATGGTTCAAATGAGTGTCTTGGTAATAAACAACAATTATGTGTACAAAGTATGTGTTCACAAACAACATTAATCAAATTTCTTCAATGTCAATCAAAACAAATGGAAAACATTCCAGATAATGGTGAACAATGCGTTAAAGAACTATCGGATAACACATTAAAATGGTCAGATATTGATACATGTGTTAAATCAAATAAAGCCAATGAATTATTTCATAAATCATTAGAAAAAACACGCTCAGCATCAGCTAAAAAATCTTGTACAATGCATTTAAATGGAAAATTTTGGTGTATGCATGATGGTACTTGGTATGGATGTACAGAAGGTCGTGATGAAAAGAGTTTAATCAAAGCCATTTGTTCAAGATATAATGGACCTAATAAACCAATTGAGTGTACGATGTCTATTTAGTTTATATGTTTCTTTATTTTATTCAGTTACTTTCAATCAAAATTTTTTCTTATTGTCGTTTTTTTCTTGTTAAGTATATTTATTAAAAATAAAGCGAAAGAGAAAAAAAAATATTACAACGAATAAAATTTTCATTAGGAAAAAAAAATAATAATAATAATAATTATCAACTGACAAATTTTTAAATATTCCATTCATACTTTCCATTCACGCATTGCTTTTAAAAATTCTGAAAAAAAAAAAATTAAATATATTTTTCAATTGTTGAAGTATTGTTTTTCTTTAATATATACCTTGAAGAGTAATAGTATTTTCATTGCCAACATCGGAAACCATACCAATAAACGTTTGTGCTTCTTCTTTTGTTATCATTGTTGAATATCGATTAAAAAATGTTAAAAGTTGATCAAGTGTTATAGTCTCCGATTGATCAGTATTAATTTCATTGAATAATGTAGTTAATTCAACAACATTTGCTTCACTTGTTAAAAGATCATCACCAAAATAATCTCGAAATTCTTTATATTGAATAAAACCATCGCCTAGAAAAATAATAATCAATAAGAAGAATAAAAAAAACAAGAAGATGGGTCATACCATTTCGATCCATCTCATTAAATATCTGAAATAATTCATGTTCAGCTAACGTTTGATCAATAAGAAGCATCCAAGAACGAAATTCAAGATAACTAAGACGGGAATCAGTATTAACATCAATAAAATTAAAGATACGTCGAGGATCTAAATAAAAAAAAACGTAAAGATTTGTAATCATCAACTACATATTTCCAACAAACCTGGTTTTGGTGCAATTGTTTTAACCACTGTTTGATGTGGTTTATGAAGTTTATGATGTGTAGGAATACGCCTTGGAGGTGTATTTTCTTTTGAAGTACTTATGTTTGGATGACGATGTTTTATTGATCGTGGTGTTTTTTTTTCACTTTCAATAATAATAGACGGTTTGGATTTACAGATAAACACTGGATCAAAATCTCTTGGAGGTGACACAAGAGGTAAATTAACTTTGTTCGGAATGTTATAATAACGAGCCATACTTAATCGATGTCTCAATCGAAATAAAAGGGAAAAAGGATTTATCACTACTAGTTATGATTAGTAGTTAAAGGATGGATTCGTTTGATAGTGACGATGATGTAAAAACGTGCCACCTAATGACGCACAGTTAACCGAACAAATGTATTTATCTATTCTCTGATTCATTTATATATGTATACATAGTTCGAAGAGAAAAACAATAGTCATATTATTTTTCTTTTCGCCTTGATGCTTTGTTCTGCATCATTAGCTTACGGTTGCGTCATGTTGACTAGTCGATTCATACGAATTCTTATATTCTATACATCTTTAGTCATATTTATGTAAATATATTAGCATTTGTTTACAATTATTCACAAGTTCTACATTTTATATATGAATCATCTTTTCTTGTTATAATCTATCGTTTTAATATGATATTGGCTATATACTATTGCAACAAGGAAAATAACTAGAAATATTTTATTGTCTATGCTATGAATAGAAAGATGTTATATCATGTAAGATTATAATAAAAATTCAAGATCATAGTATCATCAAATATATTACAAATAGATGTCTTGTATTTTCGATCGGAAAAAGATAAATCATTCGAAACATCTGTCACAATTATAGATATCATACCACTGGCTATATCTGTATAACTTTTCAATTAATTCTTAAAGTTTCTTCATAATTTTTAACTAAATGAAATCATAAATACCTATTTTGAAATAGATTCAAAGTATAAAAATCAATACTATACATTATGAATATCTCAATGCGTCTTTATATATTTGCATATGTTTGTTTACAATTCTTTAATAAATTTTCAATCAAAGTTTTTGTACAGAATGGCTGTACCATTGTATTAGGTTGTAAGTGACTAACAAATTTATGTTGATTTGAATATTCTAAATTATGAAAATTTGTTCTTGAAAACAGATTCTATTCATGACAATTGCATCCTTGGCTACTAATCGTAGCGTATATTGTGTGAAGGTGGCAACCTTATAATAATTGTACCTACCAAGTTTCAAGTACTTATCTCTTATATTGATCGACATATGATAAAATACACCGTTAAAATAGTATTACGTAGGACATATCAAAAGTAATGATTTTGGAAAATCAAAGCTCACAACATAGAATTAATCAAGTTTTTGTTTCCGACAAGATTGGTACTAACAATCATACTTAATTATGCATAATCGATTTTTTTTGAAAATATATTGTTCAGATAATCTGTGTTTATAAATTTCGTCATATCGATTAACAATTATTTCAATCAAGCAAATTTTGTTGGACATGACTGACTACAACAATACAGAGAATGTATGACGCTATAGTAAGTAACAAACTCTAGATATGTCATACATGAGTGGGTTCAGACTCTTCGAATTGAAACCGAGCAATCTCTATCAATTACAGTTTGGTGTAGTAATT